AAAAACGATATTTTTTGTTTCGATAATATATTTTACTGTAAAAATAAAATATTTGGACACTTCACGTTTCATTTATTGAGAACAAAACAGCAACGTTGAATGGCAAAGTATAAAAATAATAATTTAATAAAATACGATAAATCTCTAATTTAAATATTATTCCGAGAAACAAATGTACAAATGTATACTATTCAATAATGAACAAATTTTCAATAATTTGTTTTCTAAAAAAGAGTATGTTGAGAATTGCAAAAAGAATTCGATGTATTTCATTTCAAAAATAAAGTTTTTACTTACATAAATAGTAATCGTATTTTATTTCGTTGAGTAAAAAAGGTGGAGGTATGTAAACTTGTGTTTCCTTATTCGATCAACAGCGAACTCAAGCGAACTGATTCTCATGTCATTACCTAAGTCCACATTTGGATTTTTAAAAAACTAAACATAAAGTATACCCTACTATATAGCGACAAATAGCGGCCAGTTTTCGTACTACGTACATACCGCATCGGTTTCGACAGAAAATGTCATGTGTAAAAGAACAATAAGGAGCAAGGAATGTATTTAAATTTATTATTAAAATATGAATTTGGGTCCAAATCTTGATAAATATATAGAGTTTTAAAGTGAAAGAATCAAAGGGGAGAAAACCATCTCAAAACATGAATTGCTTTATGTTTTAACGCTACCTAGTGCAGTATCAAGAAACTACTTTGAATTATCAAAAGATGATAATACACTACTATATGCAAAACTTTTCTAAAACTTAGTGAACTTAATTTATCTCTTGAAAATATTCCGTCTCGTAATATTGACGATATGGTCTGTTTATTAATTGTTGCATATTGTTACGAAGATTTGATAGATGATGTGTACATCGAGATATTCTTATAAAAGCAAAAGTAACATCTTTTGAGAACTATAATAATTTCTAATGTATATAAGCAGAGCACACAAGCTGCGTAACATGACATAGATTCATAATTCATATTTCTACATGTATAAATTGCCATAAATTGTATTAGATACTTTTAAGTACATTTTAAATCTGTAAAAGCATTGAATTATGTATGCAGTACAATAAAAATGTTTTTTTTAGTCAATCTCGAAATTGTGTATATTTGTTAAAGATCATTTTCGACTCTGCACATAATGTACTTGGTTTGAAATGTTACTGTCGTTCTCAATTCTCCTTCTCTTTCATTCGGTGCTCTAAAGAAAAACATGGAGATAACTTAAAGCTACAGAAACATTTAAAATTTTGGCATAATCGAGCTATTCTTGTGTCCGTATACTAAGTACAAATAGTATAACTTTGAAATGAAATACTAAAATGAATATACGAAAACAAATCACAATATTAAAATTAAATTGTAACGAGGTTAATAATTTTACACAAATTTTCTTTATAAACGATGAAATGTATTAAAATCTATAAAATTTTGTTTTTC